AATTATTCGATGTAGGTTATAAATTAACAAAATTGTGGAAATTAAAAACACGTCGCAAGGAGAGCGAGAAACAGTGGAGAGAAGCGTGTTTGGATCAGTATAAAAGATGGAAGTTTTTCGACACGTTGACTAAACTAAAGGTAAAAGAAATCCAAGATGAGGTAATCGATAAATAATTCAATGGTATTTTTAGACTACTTTGTTGAACCAAGAATGGAACCACACCTGCCATTCAAAGGAAAGGGCGATCATACGTGAAAATCGTCGTTTTGAAAATAATATGAGGTATTTTGTAGACGTAGAGCTAAAAATATGGGTTCAAACTGAATAAAAAAATTTCTAAAAACACCATTCAAGAAGTCGAAACAGAAATATCCCCATCGCGATAAAATAATTCGCTAACAAGAAGTACTTAACTCCCATTTTTTACAGAATCAGATGGAAGTACAAGATCGACGAAAATCTATCACCCGATTCTGTACTTTTCGACAAAGTTAGTTTCCACTTCAGCAAATAGTAATTGGTACATAATTAACGCAATCCCTATCACGTGTTTGAAATTTAAAAAATAGATTACGAAGTATAAACGCGAGAGAAGGAAACAGATGAAACTTCGGAAGCAAAGAATGGTAGAAATCGTCCGAAAGATTGCTTGGGAAATGAAACCGGAAAAGCAGGTGCCTTCAAAGAAAGTCGTGCTTGGAGGAATTAGAAAAGGGAGTTTTGTGAAAATGTCCATGGAAGAAGCTCTGAGCTCTGAGCAGCATTCGGGAAATCGTTCGAAGATCGTCGACGTGGATTTTACGACTACTTTAAACGAGGTTTAAACATTACTATAAGATGGTTAAGTAAAGTGATACATAAACTATTTTCAGGATGTATTAAAGGAGGAGGAACCTTCTGCAAAACTGGAGATCGAAGACTCGAAACAGAAATCTGACGAAGTAGAGCACAATCGTGTCTCTGGCGACGCCATATTTACCGAAGAATCCAAGTCATCGACGACAGAAGTTTTTCAGAATGACACCTGCTTTGTCGCTAATCCAAGTCTTGTTGCTTTCGATGTACGTCCAGAAACATAAACTATTTTATTGAAACAATATGATTTGAAGCATCCCTGCTTGAAAATTGGCAAATTTTTATTGCTCGATTGGAAAATTTCCCTATTTTTATTCAATTTAAGTAACACTTCAGTTTAATTAGGAATTCATAGTCGGCGAAAAATACACCCGGAGATTGACCATCACGAACAGGACTACAAAATGGGCGTATCTGCGATTCAACAGAATATGCACCGAGATCTGGGAGCCAGTTATCGAGGTTTCTAAATCACAGTTAACGATCGATCTCTGTTTCGAGAGGAAAGGTCAGCCATTGAGCATTTTAAAATCAGATCGACACTATGGATGCTGCGCGAGTCAAACCTGGCCTGCACGTAACGATCAACGTGAAATTTTCACCTGTTCACGACGCGAAAGTAACAGCGGACATTTCCTTCTTGACGTTAAATCCTGACAACCCGAAGACTTTCCACGAGCTTCGTGTTCCTGTCCTCTGCACTCCAGCGAGTCCCAAGCCTGTTTTGAATCCTAGAGAAATTAGGTAGGCTAATGAAACAAGAACGAAATAGGTAATTAAGAGTTTTGAGGGGAAACACTAACGGTCGATAAAAAGTTTGCTTATGTTCAAATTAAAAACAACTTTACCTATGTTTCTTCCTTTATTTGAGACTCTATTATCATACTCGCGTACTACGCGCAAGTCTCTGACGCGTTCAAGTGGGGCACGGTCCGGAAAAGGTTGGAAAAAACACCGACCCGGACTAAAATATGCAACAGTGGAATAAAGATGATGGTGATATTTTGCTAGGTTTCCTACAGCCCCGATATGGAAATTCAACGATGCAAAGTACACGGACAGGACTCTCACTATTTCGAACGAAGGTCGGAAATCATTCTCCATTCTAATCGGGGAGAGAAACGAACATAAAGATTGCTTCGTTTGGTACTTCGACGACGCGGAAGCGCAGAGCGTAAAGTCGTCCATGGGTTAGCATTCTTTCACGTGAAAAATAGTGTACAAGAAAATTTATGCATGGAAATTCGATTTACGTTCAAGATGAAAATGAGAATGAAGAAAATCGTGAGGAAAATAGCTTCGAAAATGACGAGCCTCGAAAAATGTTCCAAATCGAAGTCCCCCCGAAGTTAAAGTGTTGTTTAAGGATCTCGTTTCGTCCACGACGTATCGGTTTGCATCACGAGGTCATCAAAATCCGTTTCTCCGACGACGAAGGAATATTTGGCGAACAGGTCCCTTCTGAATAACATTTTATACAAATTTTTCCTAAATATCGTTTCCTGAATAGGACGTCCCTATTTGGACCGAAGTTACCGGATCCCAGATTCATTTAGATCCACCCTGCGTCGATCTCGGCGTCGCCATGATCGATTCCGACGTCTGTCAGCGGACTTTTAACGTAGTTAACACCGGTACGGTTAAATATCCATGTTTACGTCAATTAAAACTAATGCAAGCGTTTGTAACGCGTGTTGTAGGACGTTCCAGTGTTCAAATTTCCATAAAGACACCGAAATTTTTGGGAAACCAAGTGGAGGTTCATCCAAGATCGACGATCGTACAACCAGAAACATTTTCTACGGTCAGCGTGAGACTGACACCCGAATCTGCCATTTTGCGTCTGTCCAAACGGTAATCTTATCGTCCCTTAATAATATTTAAGCATTTTTACTTAAAATTAAAATTTAATATTTATAATAAAGATAGTTTATATTCCATTAACTCTTTCATTCCAGATTTCAATTAAAAACTATTTTTTTGCATTTTAATGGAAGAAATAATAACAATTTGATTTCAGACAACTGATTATTCTTTCGTGAGGATAATAAGGACATGTTTTCAGGTTTTACGACCCAACATCGAGCATGCTGGAGTTCTCGATTCGCGTGCAAACGGTGACCCAGGATGCAGAAAAGCCACCACCGATCATTTTAAAAGTTCTCGCCAGTTTAACTACCTGTCGCGGCTTGGTATTAGGTCCAATTAATTTTCCAATAACTGCAACGATGCACAATTATTTAAACCTGCTTAGTTTGGCTTCATTTTATACAGAACCAGCGTACGTTGATCTTGGTCACGTTCACACGCACGAATCCGTTTACACGGAACTAACGCTGACGAACAATTCTTTGTTGCTACAAGAGTATGGTTTTCTAAACTTGCCACCATTTATGGAGGTGCAACCTAATCATGGTTTCGGTACTGTTCTACCCGCGGAAACTGTCAAACTTCGTATCGTGTACTCTGGATGCTTGACCGATATTCCTGGAAACGCGATCGGATCGAATGGTCTGTCCGGTGAACGTAGGTTATTAAATCTTTATTGACAGCGTGGACATTTCTACAACCACCAAAGTATAGGAACTCTAGTTTGCATAAGAATTTCTAATTTTAAAAAATTTTCTTGCTCGTTAGATTTAAGATCCACGTGGTAACAATAGCAGAGCTCGCTGGAAACAAGAAGCAGATACAAATGAATGAGCTAAGAAATCTGTATGATGCAAGATCGACGATTCAACGAAGAGGTCTGCTACCAGCTATAAAAATGCCAGCAACTATGGTCACGAACGATAGAGACGAGAGAGATTCGAACGACTCTGCTAATAGTGAATTTTTTGAAGATAGGAATAGCCCAGGTATGTCACGATTAACTATCTTGGTCTGCGCAATTAACTGTCTTTCGTACGTCTAGCGTCAAGTGTCGAAGAAATTATGAAAAGGGTTCGTCCCAATGAGAAAAGAAAAGAGAAGAACGAGATTGATATTTTGGTGCATATCGTGGACACGTTTTGCGAATTTAGCGAGCAAATCATCGAGTTCCCCGCGACACCCTGCGGCTCCTTTTCCATAGTAAACGAATTTCGTATTCGAATATTATGATAGCCACAATGTTTCAGAATTGTGGCAGTAACTTGCAATTGGAATGTTATTGTTGATAGAATCGTGTTTTACGTATATAAATTCAGGTCTCCGTTCACCTGAGAGGATTCAACATGGCCTCCTATCCTCACTGCACTTGCGGAATCGTGAAGAATCAAGAGAAAGAGTTCACGGCTCGTTTCAAATTCAAGTGTCTCTCCGATGAAGTCAAGGTTGCCCCACAGCGTGGTCTTTTACATAGCAAACAGCTCGTCAAGGCCAACTTCATCTTCGAACCGAGGTTACTGAAAACCGAAGAGACCGTAGAATCAAACCTGAACACCGAGGAACGAGAACGAGAGAAGACCGAGAAGAGCGATAAATCGAAAAGAAAAGGTGTACGAGGGACTGTTTGCACCTTTGTTCGACATAAATCATAATTCACACGGCCACTTGACCAGTTTGCACAATCTTTTCTAACGACGATTACGCTTTCGTCAAAAGGAAGAACGAGAAATGGAGAAAAGACGAAATCAGCCGACGAAAAATCAGAAATTCCCGACGAGATCGGTTTACTGGAAACGTTCGAGCCACGTGTTTCCATAATTATCGTCACCTGTGCGATCGACTTGGAGACGAAAGACGGTGACAAACGAAAGGAACTCCTGTTCGCGAAATTAATCTGCCCCGTGACGAAACCGGAAATCGTGATCCTGAACGAGAACCGCGAAATAGAGTTTGGACCAACGGCGATCGGTACTTCCTCGAGGAAGCTTTTGCTGGTCAAAAACATTTCCAACAAGTAAACTTGAACGATCACGACCATAGAAAATGTAACTTTCTAATAATTTTCGTAACTTTAACAAGGAGCGTGAAGATAGATTCGAGTCTGTTGGATCCTTTCGGGCCGTTCTACATGCCTCCCGGGAAGACCATCGAAACTGGCTCCATTTTGAATGTTCCAGTCACTTATCGACCGATTCAAAGCCACGACGAAGAAGTAAGCATTCGTTAAATGTTTTAATTAACTCGACAAATTTAATAGACTCGGTAGGACCATGTTAAAAGCTATTGTACGTAGGTATAAATATAAAGTCCGTTCGTGGCGCTTTACTCTTGAAAACAAACGTCCATCCGTGCCCTTTTACGCTGCCTGTTTCTTTGATTTTGTATCTGCCTGGACCAGGGCGAATTTCTAACGAAGGGCCTGGTCTCACGTGTTCAATATTACTGTCAAACGGATACTGTTTCGCGTTCTTTGGTTTTCTGAGTAATTTTGGATTATAGTGCCCGGGTCCCGGATGCTTAGGGTCCTTGTAACACAACGCGAGATCTTGCAACATCAATCTCACGCCTGATATCTTTGGGAATCTGTCAGAAAACAGACTTCATTGCCTATCGTATTCAAATCGAGTCGTGAATTGTTTCGAATGTAGACGGATTAATTTATAAATTTAAATACAGGTTAAACGTGCATCTTTTCAACGAACTGTTACTCCAAATAGTTTTTCTAAAAATATCTTAAATGACGTGTGTTTAGAATACCTTGGACAAGTGGTCCAACGTCCTTTAAAATAGTTCGACTTGCAGAATATCTCGCTTGGTAGCGATTTAGGCCAGTCGCCATAATCGAACAATTTCGCGACTTTCTGGTAACCAATGAGCGTACTATCGTCTCTTGGCCCTGGATTAAATGACAAATATAAGCTGTCGAATATTATTTATTTGTATAATTATTCGATTAACCTGTAAATAAATCGTAGGGGCCCCTTTTCCCAGTGACTTTCCTCAGAGTTGCCTCGAGACTACCTGGATGCTTCACGTCGTATCTAACCAAACAATATTTCAATTTTTACATACGTAAATAGCTTGATATTACGTCAATTTCAAAATTTCGTTCGATCGTTTTCAACCCCCTATCTGATGAATCTTATTCTCATTTTCAAAGATTACAAATTTAAATATTATATTGCTTTCTTGGCAAAAATTTATATTCATCATTATAATGATCTCTGGAAATGAGTCTAAGGAATGAGTTGAGGTATATAAGATATATAAATAGGTACAAATTGCAAGGCAGGCTCCAGGGTTTTGAGATCGTTTGAAACCTAGGTTGCAGGCCATCGTATTCAAAAGTGGGTACACACGAAGAACCAACGCGTTTCCTTTCGTCCATGTAATAGTAAGGACACTTTCGCGTATATCCTGGAATATACACAGCTATGAGTGACGTTTCTCGAATGCCTGACAATTGGAAATTCGAAATTACTAAATGAGAAACTTAGATCAATTAGAACGAGTTCCTTCGATCGGAGACATTCGAATTAAGACTAGGATCTTTGGTGAATATTTCTGTTTTCTATTCGTAAATCTATACAAGATTCAAGTAGTTCCACTTTAATTACGATCTACCTGGTCCAGGATTAGTACACACCGGAGCAGGTTTGAAAAGGGGAACAGTTCCAAATCCGACGTCCCTTTGAATAGTTTTGCAAGCCTTGTGCAAAACATTTTCAGGCCACTGCAATATTTCGTGCGTTCCAGGTCCTAATCCCGTCTTCATCAGACTCCTCTCTATGGCGTATTTTTCCAACAAAAGACCTCCCATTGTCGCCGAAAACTCTCTAGTTTCCAACTCCCTCTTCCAACTAATTTTTCCATGGAAAGTTTTTATTAAACGCGTGACGTTGTGCAAAATTAATAGTAAAATACGAGACTTATTTTAATCAACATTTTGGTCTTTGATGCATGGCTCTTTCTAGGGTGCAAAAATATAATATTGATGCAAATTCATATTCGTTAGTAACTAACTAACTGCAAACTCACTTACTAACTAACTGACTGCAAACTAACTAACTAACTAACTGACAAACTAACTGACTAACTAACTAACTAACTAACTGCAAACGAACTAACTAACTAACTAACTTAGTTAGTTATTGGAACACGCGTGTTGCAACATAAGTAATTGAAACGTGTAATACCATTAGCTTCGATTATGGAGTTCTACTGTGCTCTATGAACACTCGTAGGCGTTTACCGTACGCGGTCAACTGATCGACCGAGCACCAATGGAGGCCATCTTGAAAACTTAAAGTGTTTGTAGCGCGTGGACAGTTTAGCTTGAAATGTACCTCGCGGTAGTGGATTTTCTTTCGATGGATCGAGGATTGTACAATCCTACGGGCGGGGAATCGACATTGACAATGTTAAATTTTGGGTGCATTCCAACGATCGTGTCGCGTCTCGATCCACTGCCAAAAGGCGGTCCAGGTTTCTTCTCTCGAGGAATCAAACACCGACATCGCCATTTGCAGACGCATCGACAAATTTTGAAGGATTTCGTCTTAGTTCCGCAAGGCATCGTGATTTTACTGCCGTTCGGAAATTTTGAGAGCTAAAATATTTATTTATTTCTGACTTCTCGTTTATTCTGACGTATTTGCACAATTTTAAAAAGAAGGAGGTTAGCACGCGTTTTCGAATTCACGTCACGTCGTGAATCGACTCGTTCGATGTGTACTCGACGTATATTCGATACATATCGATCGAAGCTATACTAGGCTGGTCTTGTGTAGTTAAAATAGAATCGAAATTTACTTCAACGAATGTTAATGGAATTCTGAAGAGATTCGTTTGTTTTATCGAAGACGCATAATATGATTTGTTTATTCTAAATGAATTTAGGAATCGTTCGAAGTATCGAGCTACAGAACGAGGACAAAATGGCGTGTGAAAGTCTCGGGACGCGGAGTGGTGCCATCTTACCTAATCAGACCTCGATTTCGAGTTGCTTATTTCGAAGTTATCGACAACAGGCCAGTGGAACTAAAAATAACTGTAAGTACTCGATCTCTGTAATTAATATTTTTAGAATTTAAAGCAAGGCTAGCTTTCTTTGCAATATTGAAAGGAATATATAATGTGCCGACTTGCAACATTATCAACAGGCAATAGAAAATGATCATAGCATTTAGTACAATAGCTAATGAAATTACAAGAATACTTTTGTATTTTAACCGAATGAAAGCTGTACCACAGACGAGATATACGAGTAGACCTTTCACCTTATGGTCTTTCGTGGCCCTGACTGCCATACCGACCTGAAAATTCGGAGGTGATTTTAACGTCCTCTTCACATGGATGGTGGTCAGTTGAGAAACTATTCACTGAATTAGTATTGATAGGCAAACAGGTGTAATGTTGCATAAATAGATGTGAGTTGACTATGAAAGAGATTTCTGAATCTGTTGGTAACGTTGCGAATGACACGAAAATGGTAATGGGGTTTCGAGACCCCATAAAAATAGGTCGCAAAAATACATTGGATGAAGGATCTACTTCTATACCACATCTGTGACAATACTCTAGAATCTTTGATGAATCAATGAGAATCAAAACTAACCTAGCGAAGAAGCTCTATATTTATGATGACCTATGCAAGGCGGATCGCAGCCAATTTGCTAATATTATTTAGTTTTTAATTAATAATTGCATTACCCAGCTAAGAGTGATACGATTATTAATCAAACGCTAAATGATATTACCCAGGTCTCACCACGAGGAGGTTGCTGCGAACGGAGACCCGCCCTAACCGATTCCCAACCACCCTCCATTAATAAAAATCTATGACCAACAATCGTTGGTCGAAGAAGAAACAAACGAAAGTGCAACCAACGAAGGAAACAACCAACAAAAGAGTTTTTTGAGAAAGAATTTGCCTTTAAATTCTCATCAACAAAACAGAGAAATAGATCAAAGTATTGCCCGCCCGATATAATGATTAATATAGAAAACTCCTGCCTAACTATAAATCTAAATTCGTTTACATCCTACCTATCTAATCATCTAACAAAATACGTAGAAAATATATTCTTCCTTGTTGATCCTTCGACGAAGATTTCTTGAAACATACCGTTACATCCTACCTAACTATAAATCTAAATTATTAAAACATAAACTAAGCAATCGGAACAAAATACATGAAATACATTCTTCTTTCTTCTATCTTCTATTTATCCCACGATGATTTCCTGAAACACAAACAAAGCAATATCAAACAAAATTGTAAGAATTCTTAATTGTTACCTTTATAGACCTAAAACTTCCATAGGAATATGCTCTGTAACAGAAACTTGTTTAATAGATTAGTAAGAGAACAACACTGAACCTGTAAAACTACAAATACTACAACTCCAGGCAAGTGCAGTGAGAAAGTAAAAATAGTACATAATATACGAGGTTACTTTGACTCTAAAATGTATTCGTCGCGAAATATCTTCTTGCACGTCAATCTAATGATATATTTTAATAAGTAAAGACAGACTTTGGGTACCTTCGACATCGAAGATAGCCAAAGTCGTCAACTAAATTATGAAAGTGAATTTAATTATTGAAGAATGTAAAGAACAATCGGAAGCTACTAATTTGACACTCATTCTAAAATTAATATAATTATAAGTATTGTAAAAGATATTAAAATCATGACTCTACTTTCGATCGATATTACGATATTTGTCATATTGAAAATTGCGGCGTGTAAAAAGATCGCACGCTTAAATAAAACGCGACGCGACACGTGCTCATAGCGTGCAGTGAGTGTGGGTATCAGATTGATCCCCCCCGGCCTTGATTATCAGAAAAGCAAGTCGCGCCCCTGACCCACGTCTATCGGACCTCTCTACGTACAACCGCCGGGCCCTGGAGGACACACGGTCACAACAGGACCCGCTTAGTACTCGAGAACGGATATGGGTCAAGAACTCTCACCGGAGGTCATTCTCTTTTCCGTATAAAGAGGAGAATATATGCGCTCGGTGAGGCCCCACTTAAGCTGAACCAAGCTGCACCGGGGTTGAAGCGGTAAGAGCTATCACACCTAATACACAGGCGTCACATGTTTCATTCTATCAAACAGAGGTGATCGAGCGAAACTCTCCGATCCTTTCGGTCGAGACATAATCTCGGAAAGCGAGAACCAGAGAACGAGCGGACGAGAGAAAGTGAACTATTCGTATATGTATATGTACTCATTATATATTCATTTTAAAATCAGTGTCAAATTAAAAATGAATCTACTATGACATTTGTCATCTTAAAAATCGCGGTGTGCAAGAAGATTATAATTTTAAGCAAAAGGTACTAACTACACTTGCCAAAGAAAGCACGTATACAACCAGTCGTTTTACCCCTTTGCCTTACGATTTAATTTCCAACTGTTCGTGCCAAAGGTGTCACCAAGGTTTGGCCAGGTAGACTTATCACTTCTCTGAGACGTCTTGTTCATGTTAGGCCCGGTAAACTCATCACGTCTCTGAAACATCATTAAGCTAAGGGATTAAAGAGGAGGATTTTAAACACTTAAAAATGACCTATCAACCTATTGTATAGAAACAAATATAGTATATGATCGAAAACAATGTTACATTAATATATCCTGCAATATTATACATATCGAAGCAATCACATTGTTTCGAAGAACAATGTAAAAGTAGAAACCGAGAAAAGGAACATTCATAGTAACCAAATAAAATCAGATAGATAAACGAAGCTGAATTCACATCAAACAAACAAATAAAAATAATAAAATATAAATAAGTGGAGTGGACTTACTACTTGTTGTCAGTATATAGGGTAGTTACCACTGGATCAGCTGTAAAGTAAGAAAATATTCATATTATAGCAACGTCAGTTAGGCAAGCAAGGCAAAATCAGTTCAGTGAAACGAAATTGGTATCAAACGATAGAATAGAAGAGGGGAGAGAATTTTTAAACAGTTCTTACCGTAGTCATCACCGTCCGGCACTGGTCAGTAGTGGTCAGCAGTGGTCAGTAGTGGTCAGTAGTGGCAAGAACGCGAGCCAGCACTGGTCAGTAGTGGTCAGTATTGGTCAGTATTGGTCAGTCCTGGTCAGCCCTGGTCAGCCCTGGTCAGCGCTGGCCAGTAGTGGTCCGCAGCGGCCATCAGCGGTCATCAGCGGTCCCCGGTTCACTTCTGGCTATTTGCCCACTCCCGAATCCGCGACGAGACTGAAGAACTCTTCGCAGAGACCCTGCTTATATGATTAAGGTGATGAAAGGGTGGGGAGACCAGTCAGAGCCAGAGCTGAAGTTAACAGTTAAGACTGTCTTGTCTACAAGGAAACTATTTCGATTGGTCCCACCTCTTGACCATTTCTGGATCTTCACTGGACCGCTGACCTCGATGTCAACCTCACTGTTGACCACCAGTGACCATAAGCTAGTCATTGTTGATCATCGACCCATTAAAACCATTACAAAGATTAAAGCCTTCTTACGAGGATCCCCTTACAATTTGATGCATGATCTTTTTAACATTTTGTTCCACTTTGGAAGAGTGTATCTCGTTAATTTTTGTCTTTTTATCATAGTCAACTCACTATCAATACTAATCAGTGAATAGTTTCTCAACTGACCGCCATCCATGCGGGGAGGCCGCTAAAATCACCTCCGAATTTTCAGGTCGGCATGACAGTCACATTGGGCCGCGAAAGTCGATAAGATGAAAGCACAGACAAGGTATACGAGATGGCAGAAATGAGAAAGTATCTTTACATGATAAAATGATACCTTTCTAACCCACTGTCGATCGTTCATTTTTATTTGATCACTGACGAGGTATACGAATAGACCTTACATCCAATGTAATTTTTCGGGTCAATTTTTCTGGGACTCTAGAGTCCCATTAATATGTACTGTTTGTTATTTTCGGGATAGTAATTTTTTTCTCAGAACTGGATAGGAATTCGGGGATATGTATATTCACAAAAAATGATTGCAATTGACCCCTGCAACTAAAAATAATTCTTTTAGAACGATTTGAAATTTTTTAATTTCATCGAAAAAGTTTCCGGTCGGTATGGCAGTCAGATTGGTCCACGAAAGTCCATAGGGTGTAAGGTCTTGCACACCTCGTCTGTAATTTGATTCTTCTAAATAATATTGTACCTGGAAATGCACCGACAAAAGTAATTCGAATTTTGAATGTGCATACTGTCTATTTAAATACATATAGTGAATTAGAAGTTATTGATTACATGCAAATTTAATGCAGAAATAATACCACGTTCATTGTTGGATTAGTTTAATCATGAAGATGCAAACGTGATATGGGGGCGATTGTAATTAGCCATGCAAACATACGAAACCGTAGCCGGAAGATTAATTCGTGGACATTGGAGTAGACATTGATTGCGCCCAATAACGTCAGGTGACCACGAATTAATTAATGACAACCCATTATCATTGTATCTCGTCTTATCGATGAGTAATCACAGGTGCATGTTGTTACATACAACATGATCATTTTACTTGTGGTTGAGAACAATTTTAAACAAATATAGCGCCAAAATAAAGTATTATGAAATTTGCAATTTAAGTTCATATAAGTGAGAAAAAATCATCGATGTAATTCAAGAGGTGTATGGAAGTTCAAGGAAAAGGTCAGGCGAAACAAAATGAATCATAATTACGCGGACTCTAACGAAACAAGCACGTGGTTAATTGGGTTATAATACTCTGCCGGGTTATATAGTGCGAAAGAGCTGAGAATAAATGAAACTAATATATTTCTAACAATATAATTAACAAGTAATTCTAACTAGAGCATTGCAATCATAGTCTTGCTAGATATAGTTCCCTTTATTTTAAGGTTATTCCATAAACTAAACTTCCCTCTGATATTTGATAAAACGTAACTTCTTCAAACATAAATGTTCCATCCAAACGACTCGGTTTTACCTTATAAAAATGTGAGAAACGTAAGGAAACGGCACAAAGGGGCAGAGAACGATATTAAGTGCATAAATCTTGGCGTGAAAGGGCGTAGATAATATTTTATTGACGGGGCAGTGGCCATCGGGAGATATTGTTGTAAATCGAAAAGCTAGTCGCCCAAGGCGACATCCAAGTGTTCAAGGGAAAATAGAGCGTGAAGTGACGACGGGTACCGATAACTTCGACTGTGTCCCTCGGGGCGACCTAAAGACCAGCACGCAAAACAGGTTGTCCTGCTCGAAGGATGTCGAAGGATCAGCCACGTATTTTGCTATATGAGGCAGACGCGACGAGAAACACAATTTCATCTTCGTCGACGATATCGGGAAATTACGCGACGAACTATCACCGAGGGTCTACGACTACGCTTGCGGAATCTCGAGAGCGCCAAGATCGATTTCGTTCCTGTTTGACGAATTTCCGTGGCTCGATTCCAAGGCAAACTAGCTTCTCGACGATCGTCTAACATTTCACCCAAAACAGCGCGATACGATATCACAATTTAAACAACGATTTTGAGATTGCTAAAATCAATTGACTTCATTTTTTAATCATGAAGAGTTGGACGTGAAATTAACGAAACAGGCAGATTCTAGAGGCCAAAATAAGATGGAAATCAAGAACACCAATTTGTTGATCGAGGCTTCGTTAATAAGTTATTAACGTTCAAAGTTCCCCCTGTAGCTCACCAGGTGTTCGCAGATCGCCGTCCTACAGGCGTAACTGTAAACGTTAATAACTTTTTAACGAAGCCTCGATCGACAAATTGGTATTCTTGATTTTCGTCTTATTTTGCCCTCTAGAATCTTCCATTATAATTTTTTCCCAGCTATCCGTGCTTTTATAGCTACGAGACTCCGGTCCCGTGTTTCTCGCAGTTATCCAAGATCTGATACTCGTTAACTTGTATGAAATGAACAGATGCCAAGGAAATCTCGTAAAATATGTTTATTGAAGCTAACTTAGATTCGCTAGTACATGGTTGGCGGGGTTCCCCTGTCAGTTTTGAAAGGAACACCCTTCTGAAGGCATTATGGCACACTTTCGCGTGCAAAGGCAACTCGAAAAGGAGGAAAAGCAACGCGTGTGAGAGCGTGAGCAGTGCAACAGAGAATGCGAAGGAAAACAGGGGAGAAAAAGGTTCCACGGGTGTAAACTTGCCCGAGTCTTTTATCTAGCCGACAAAGTTGTCCCTCGCCGACGATGCCCTCTTTCCTGAAACGGATATTTCGGAGCACGTGGCACTTTGCAACGGGAAACATTGTACATAATGACTGTCGGAGAGTGTGAGAGCGGGTGACGGAACGAAACAGGGTGGAAAAGGCTGAGGAAAGGAAAATAGGATGGAAACAGACGGACGATATAGGGCAATACCCATGAGTTGGGTCACTACGTAATTTTAATTATATGATCAAGTAGACAAAAATGAGAATTTTTTTAAATTGTATTATCCGACTATCTAAAGATTAGTGTGGAGGTATATTTAACTCTCTGGATTTAACTTGGAATTAATGGGGTCTGTCTAGCTGTAGTACTTCCTCTCGACCCAGGAAAGTTGGTGTAATGTAGAAGGAAGTAGATTATACTATAACCAATCAGAGAGGTACATATAACATTTCGCTGCTACACAGTAGGTCAAACGTGATCCATAATGAAATTTCCTTTATACCACGTATCATGGAAGGAAGTTTTACATTGTTACAGTATAAACTGTTTTTTTTTCTTTTATTTTTTCATTACAAAAGGAAAACTTAAAATGGGAATTGATGAAAATGGAAGAATATAATTCCTTCTATATGGATAACTTGAACATCTGTAGTATCTGTATTTTTCTAGTGTTATTTTAAAATTGAAATTAACTGAGCAAGATCCAGTTGGACGAAGTGTACGTCGATTTTCGTTCTTCTTGATTCTTAATTTTTGTTTGAAAATTCTGAGTTTTCGGTATCGGTATAATTTCATCTACGACTGCAATTTCGCAGATCGGCGACCAGATAGAAGACTTGATCTTGGATCGTGTTCTTACGATCCAGAACGACCCGGTGTCCGTCTTTATTAGTTCCACGCTAGTTTCATCGCGTTCCAAGTTCTGTAAGTGGCAATGTAGCACAGTTTCCTCGAGATCTTCCGTTCAGCGTTGGAGTTTTAGGGGCGGAGCATTTTCGCGTTTCCAAACAGCGTCATCTGACGCTCGATATCTACGCGACTGCAAGTCGCCAGCTATCAGTGCCCACTCATGAGGATGCTTGCGTCAAGGATTTATTCATTCCTTTATCCAGTCGTTGGTGTTCAAAAATAACGTCGAGCTACTTTATCTTCGAAATTTATTCTCACGAAGATCGTGAACATTCGTAAATCATGAATAAATATGAAAAATGTTGAAATTAAGAAACTTGTACCTTTTTTGTAAAATAGATCAAAAGAATGAAACTGTAGACTAGAATATCCCCTTAACCCCTTGCCTTACGATTTAATTGCCAACTGTGCGTGCCAAAAGCGACGCCAAGGTTTGGCTCACTAGACTTATCACGTTTATTCTCACGAGGATCGTGAACATTCGTAAATCATGAATAAATATGAAAAATGTCGAAATTAAGAAACTTATATCTATCTTGTAAAAAAGATCAAAAGAATGAAACTGTAGACTGGAATATCCCCTTAACCCCGTTGCCTTACGATTTAATTGCCAACTCTGCGTGCCAAAAACAACGCCAAGGTTTGGCACAGTAGACTTATCACGTCTCCGAGACGCCATTGCAAGCTAAAGGGTTAAGGAAGATGAAAAGCTAGGATCATCTCTTAATTACAATTAATTGATAAGATTCCTCAAGGCAAGCAGACTTATTTACCTTGAGGAATCATTATAGTAATCGAGTAGGGTCGACCTTAATCGCGCTGGGGCGTTCATCCTTGAAATCAAGACCGGTACACGTTTCCTGCTGTCTGGGTTAGTTATCATCGTCGTTTTCCAACGTTTAACTCCAGGCGCATTCCCGATCCGATCTGTTTAAGCGACATCAACTTCCGGCCGTTTTACAGCCTCAAAGTAAGAGCCACTTTCAGCCGAGAACAATTTCCGGTCGCGGTTACGTGGCGCGTGTTATCCACTTGGAAACGAGCCGTACTCTTATAAAGATTACCGGGGAAAGGTGTTGCAAGGTAAAAACAGCACCGTCAGAGGTGCAGCCATCGAGGAAATCAAATCGCTTCCAATTACCATTCGACAATAGCAGCTATTGTAATTGCAAATTGTAACTGGGGATTTTTCCATGGGTTACCAAGGGAACAGGGATTTTGATGAGCTCGGGTCTCGCCTCGCCGATGAAAAATCTAGCGAAATCGGTGAATAAATTTTCCACGTGAAACGTTTCAACGGGGTCAGTGGAACGTACCGCGCGATCATACGGGGTGTCCAAGTATTGCTGGTGGGATCGAGAAGAAAACGACTCTGCGCGGGGAAAAAATCGGAGAGGTGGAATAAATTTCGTACGCTCGAATTCACGGGAATTCATTCCCCCGCGTTTGTACTTTTCTCGCTCTGAAAACGTTTCATTAGCGACCTGGAGTTTTCTCGGGTCTGCGTCTCGATTAAATTTCATTTTAAACCCTCGCGAGTCGGCGACGCTCGAACGATTTGCCAATTTGCACGTTCGTCGTTTCATACCTTCCTCGACGGGGACGTTTTCCAGGTACAAAACACTGGAATCTGCCCGTTGACTTTTCGACTTCGCGTAATCGACGCGCTCCGAGGGAATATTCCGCGAACAAGCGCGCCGGAGAAATCACCGGAGAAACCGGGGAAAAGGAAAACGAGGGGAAAGATCAACGACGAGAAAAGAAGGAGTACACCGAGAATGCCGGAACTGAGGAACGTTCTGGGACGAGACGAGGAACAAGCGATATTTGGCGGGGGATTGGAACGATCGGTGGATCGATGCTTTTCATTTTCGAATCTCGACGAGAATATGCAGCTACCGGTGCCGGAAAAGAAAAAGGTATTTTCGTTTCGGGGGAAAATGAATTTATGGAAACAATATAGAATGCAATCTCTGTCTTTGGAACGTTGCAAGCATTTGTAAATTTATTATGCAGGGTGTTTGGTCAACCCTGGGAGAAATTTTAATGGGAGAATATCAATTTGTTGATCAAGGCTTCGTTAAAAAGTTATTAAAAAATTTCAAATTGTTCTGGAAAAATTATTTTCGGTTGCGGGGGTCAATTACAATCAGTTTTGGTCATTAGACATAACCCCGAAATTCTGCGTAGTTTCGAGAAAAAAATTCATTACCGAAAATTACATGTCTGACCATACCGTTGATATGTTTCACTGAAATTTCATGCGAATGTTTAAAACGTCATAACTTCTGAACGGATTGGACGATTTTAATGTTTCAAACGCCAAACAACGCGTATTTTGCTGAAGAATATGTAGAAATTTCAAAAATATTCGAAAAGTTGTTACTTAACACCATAAAGTTAAAAAAACCCCATAAAAATGGTTCAATTTTCAAATAACCATAACTCCTTTAATAGTGAATATATTACAATGAAACTTTTTTCCGAAGTAGAGTATATGGGCGCCTACAAAAAAGTATTGGACAACTTTTCTGTAGGGTGTCAAACAAAATTACTAAAAATCAAGAACGAAGTTTTAAGAGAAATTGACAAGACGGTGCCTGAATTTTTCGGCGAAAAAAAAAATTTTCAAATCGTTCTAAAAAAATTATTTTTAGCTGCGGGGGTCAATTATAATAATTTTTGGTGAATAGACATACCCCCGAATTTCTACCCATTTTCTAGAAAAAAATTCGAGAATGTGTGAAATTTTTCGACAAAATTAAAAAATTTCAAATCGTTCCAAAAAAATTATTTTCATTTACGGGGGTCAATTACAATCATTTTTGGTGAATAGACGTACCCCCGAAATCCTGCGCATTTTCGAGAAAAAAATTCAGTACGTTTGGAACTTTAAACGTTAATAACCTTTTAACGAAGCCTCCATCAACAAATTAATATTCTTGATTTTCGTCTTATTTTGGCCTCTAGAATCTCCCATTAACAATTTTTCCAGGGGTGGAAAGGTAGAATCACTATTGAAATATATTTTATTAATGGTTGAACCAAGGCATCTGTAAGTACGTAGTAACGATGCTCGAGTAATCAAACGTTTCGTAATAATATTGCAAATTATAATTTGAATGTAAATTTCACTTTAATTTAAAATGAAGTGATAAATGGTTTTGATATTAAATCAAAAAGTTTGATTTATATGACAAAGCAACACTCTGTCGTTATTACTATATCAGTGGAAGGTCTTTTATAAAAGTTTTTATATTGCGTTGGAGTATATTGCATTTTTTTTTTGTATAAAAATGTATCATATTGCGTTGAAGCAATAAAAACGGAAGCAATCGAGGCAGACGAGAAATTGTGTTGCCAATGAATACTATAATAAAAAAGTATGAAAACTCGAATGGAATGAAGATTTAATAAACAGATTTATTAAAGTCAACTAGAACACCACTTTCACAAACAACGAAAGTTTTTGAACTTATTATAGAGTCAATTGCAAAAATGATACAATTTTTAATTTCTTATGTTGTGTGCATTGATCGATCTTCAATAAATAATATAATATTATTAATTTTACTATTTCAAAATATATTATTTATTTTAGAAATTTCAGTTTCTGTAATTCACTCTTATGTATTTTCAATTTTAAAATTATAATACACAGCAGAGTCTGGCAAATTTTAAAGTTCCACAGTCGTGTCCTCAGTTTCTTTTTTGCCTGTTCTAGCATAACGAGCCATTTTTCTCGCTTCCTCCACTTCTTTTTACCGTTTTTATAGCTTTCTTTTTTTGGTGACTTCCATAATTGATTAAACAGTTGTGTATGCATCGTCGACTGTTTGAGCAACGTTAAAAAATATTTTCGAGACCCTTTATTATTTCTGCGCTGTTTAAATAAATTGTTCGTACTAAAATCTTCGTAAAGTGGCTCGATTTCAGATTCGACGTTTCCGTACTAAAGATTCTTGTGTTTTCGTATTGACTCAGGCTTCCGTCTGCTTTTTCTCTTTGCATACGTCTTGCGAATGAACTTGCCCGAAATCATCAAAAGCTGATCGCGTGGGTGGATCGCGATGGTCAGATAGATCCAGGTTTATGACACGTTCCAGCTGTGTAATGCGAGGATCGTGACTTTCTAGCTAATTGCACTGCTCGAGGAATGTTCAGAGAGTTTGGGAAATAACTTGTTTCGACGTCGATCGTGACAAATGTCTCTTTTTATTCCTATCTTTATTTATAAATGTGTTTGTTAGACAAATGATACGCGAACGAAACGTTGGTTCACGAATGAATCTCAGTGAAAGCTAAACTCTGCTTTATTATCCAACAGTAGTTTATAAATCTGACGAAACGTGTATTATTAAAATTAATACAAAAATGGTCAGTAAAACTGTTTCAAAGATAGGAACAGTACTATTGAAACTACTATGAGCATGCTTGCGTGAACATAACACGATCGATCGAGCATATGGGTACCTGAAATAGATCCCAATGTGGCTGTTAATCTTTCCATATTTTAACTAAAATTTGGAACGTTATAGCTCCGATGAGGTCTACTTGACCCCAAAAGTTAGCTGCACGCAAGCAATGTAGATTCATTCGTTTATGTAACACAATTTTCGAATTAATACATGTTCCTCTTCCCTGTGAAAACATCGAATGCAAAGATACGAAATGTCATTTGACATCCTGACGAACCCTATGAAAGTCAATATATTAGTAAAAAAATTTATGAAAAATAATTTTTAATAAGAACAGACTCTCGTATTTACAGATGGAATTCGGTATACATTTCCATCGACCGAGCATGGACGATGATTCCACGAAAGAAAAAGACGCGGGAACGGCTACGAAAGGGAAAAAGAAGAGAAGGGAACCGTCGAAAAGGGATGATTCTGAGAAATTGAACTACTGCTACGTGTTGGTGTTGGAATTAACTTTGGGCAGCTCGGTGTTCGTGCAGGACTTTGTAATAATATGTTCGTTGAAATAGAGAATTACGGTTCGATTCCAATTTCCATTCTATCTTGATAGATTTATTCGCCGGGTAATTACATTTTCGCTACTTTCTCTTCGAAAGCGGTAAAACTCATCAAGCGTCGAATTACTTGTTACACAATTTTAATCTTTTTCCCTCGATTTATTTCACTATTTACACGCAACGTTCGCGTAAAAAATTGATACACCGCCATTGTAAAAATAAATACACAGTCGAGAATCATATCGCATCGTCGCGGATACGAGCCACGCGATGTCGAACAGAAGAATACGGAACAATGTTAATTCGTTACAGCTGTGAAAACGAAACGACTAGTTTGACAATCACCAACACGGTATTTCTCCACGCGCGTTATACAATTTCCATAAACCGGTATCTCTGTATAGATATTCTGCACGCACACATACACGCAGACACACAGTACTCGTGATCACATGCAAATTGTACACAGATATTCCACGAATTTATAATTAACGCGAACGGAAGCTTGCCCGTCATTTGTTTCTTTAATTAGACAAGTAATTGAGCCATCACGTTGGAGAGGAATATTTTACAAATGCACGATCGATTCTTCTGTCCAAGAATTCGAGAATTCGAGATCAATATGTATCGAAAATATACCAAATCTCTAAAGTTTCACTGCTCCAAGTCAGCGTGTCAACTTTAAAAAATGATCAGGTCTTACCGGAAAGTTCTGACCGTTTCTTAAGCAGAGGTAAGCAATAAATTAGCTGCATTTTTCAGAAACTAAGAAAGAAGAAAGTATGTATGCTTACATTTGAAATGAAACTTTGCTCGAGTAGCACTGGTTGCAAACTTTGTTACCAAACGTTAAAATTATGGCGAGATGAAACGTGAAGGGACGTTCGAAGTAGCAGTCGCTACGAGACGAGCGTAAATTGCCCGCGGCGGTTTCGGTCTCCACGAAGTTTCTAAATGGCGTAGAAAGAAAGAAAAGCAACTGTTTCGAAAAGCAAGATGAAATCAGCGTCGAAACTAAAAACTTTCCACGCGGAGAGAAACCTGATCTCTGTACAGAAACGGACAGATTTTGTCCATAACAATTATTTCAGGTCATCTTTGTGAATGGAAATACTATAAATTTCAATGGTGGGAATACTAAGTCAAATTTTAATAGTCCTCAAGTTCGAATGAATTAAACATTAAGAGAATTGGTATATTTTGACACTGATCGATCGAACGTGTTTTATTTGTCTTGTCTAACAAGTACAAGCACAATAAATTTAAAAAATACATCTACGCTCGAGGGCCTTTAAAAAATTAGTTCAGGACCAAGAAAACTCTGCGTACGCCTTTATAGTGACGATAGTTGAAAAAGGTTTGGGACTATTTGAATATTTATATTTGAATACTGCAAGGAGAAAAACTGAGCATATATATATAGAACAGAAAAAAAGAAAATACATCGTGTTATGTATAACGTATCGTTTACACATTAGTTTTGCATCGTATTAGAATTCTTTGCAAAAGAATATGTAACGTAGATATTGATACGTTTCAATATTACGTGTTCGTATCGATTGATCATCGAGTCGTATGCACGAACGTATGTCGTAACGAAAATCAACGATACTTTCAAGATGATCAATAATCTCGCATGCACGTAAACACGTACGAGCACAGTTGTACATATACGCGCACAAATACAAGCGGCTCGTAACGGCAGCATATCTTACGTTACTGTACGATAGCGTATAATATCGCGTTTGATGGCTTGCCACGATCTATCTACTGCACTATCCATAATTTAATACCAAATGTGGTAGCAGTAGGGTAAGGCTGCCTTACGAGGGAGATTATCGAACCCGGAAATTCCAAAACTCCTGAAGCCCGGTCCGAGCTTGGAATTATTTAACGCTAATAAAAAAAAAAACCAATTTTCTTACCGCTGAGAAATATTTTAAGAGGGTGCGACCACCGCTCGACGAAACTAAATCTACCCCCTTTCACGGAATAACTCTGGAACGATAAGAAACGTAAAGAAAAGTTGCACAGTTTTTCTTTAAGTTCACAAATTCACGTCAAAGAATTTATTTCGATTCGTTTTATAGAAAATAAAATTTTTGTGTTGATATAATTCATCGATGATAGAAATTAATAAATATAAAGGTTTATTTAAATACATATTGCTTCGACAACTAGTCCCAATCCTATTTTCACGATGAAAGCTATTTGTACAAATGTCTTGGGGCGTTCTAGTCTAATCGAATACGTCGATTAGCTCAAACACGATCAACGATATACGTAAACGTCTTACGTATTATTTTTTTATCGATTAGCGATTCGTTTCCCCATTTTGTTTCGATAATCAACGACGGTTCCTGTTACACAAATATTATACACTTAATTCGAGTACACGATTATAGACTTAACGACGCGATCAGGCGTCCCTGAAGCACAGCGATTGCTTCGAATGATATGAAGAGAAAAATCGTTTTCGTTTCTCCGTGTAGTTTTTTTTGATTTCGTAGCACTTTGCCAGAATTTCTCTGGCCTACGTGTGATCGATAGAATGTCGAGCACGACGGTTCGACTCGTCGTGAACTAGTCGCGAATTAATTTCTAAGCCCTTACGCGTACAAATAAATAAGTGAGTACGTTATAGTGTTTTGTTACATCGAGCAAGCGCGGGGAGAATAATGTCGCAATGAAAAAATGGACGCCATGGTCTGCGAAACAGTTCTTGGGGAGTCCATCCTGCAATCTCCAACAGTCGTGCTCCGTTTTTAATAAATACAGCGATAGAAACGTGTCGAGGACAATTGAAAATAGGAATGGGTACCCGAACGTATCACGAGAACCATTTAGGATCAAGTTAAACTATTTCAAAGGACCAAACGCAGGACTAAAAAGACATCTTCATTCATAAAGTTTGTATCCTTTGCAATAATTTAAATACTTCGAACGGTGCGGATAAGGTTCGCGAATTCTTCAATTTGGAAATAATTTTTGTCTCGTCACCGTGCGTAACTTTATCCTGAATGATTTTTCCTGACATCCACGCGGAATAGAGACATTCGGTTTAAATTGGGCCACTCTGTGCACGCACCGTTCCGAAGTTCGCTCGTTAAAAACCAACAAACGACCTGGATTGCCCCATGAGTAATTTAAAATGTTATTTCGCTTCCGGATCGATGTAGAGTCGTTCGTCAAACGTTGCAACCCGGCGTTCGTTACATTTTTTCTCTCCCGCGAGACGTTCAGTCATCGTCCATTCTAAATCGCTTTCGTCGAGTTGCCGGATGGATGGTCCGCTTTGGTCCAAATTTCTCGGGTACCCGCGTATAGTTAATACTTACTGGTAAAAATAATACAAATCTCTCTGTACCAAAGAATCTCCCGTTTATGAAAAACCAAATCGGGATTGTTCGGTTTCACGTGCCCGGGGAAGGTAGCCATTACAGGTAGAAAGATTTTTACATCCAGTCGAGGTCAAATCACGTACTGTTTCTCGAGAATTCCGGCTCGATTGTTTAATCCCAATTATACGTTTACCGTTAAACAAATTTTTGTGCTTTTCAAATATTCGTGCAAGTATTGCCAATGGATCGTCGCCATTTGCAAGATGGAAATGACTCCCAACACGACTTATATTTAATTACGCGAGTTTATACATTTTATTTAGTAGAAAATATTAACTCTTGTGAGTATTTCATATTTTTAAATTTGATTCAGATTCTTCTTATAATTTATAAATCATACGTCCATAATTATTGGCCTAGAAATCACAATCCTTATAGGAAAAGTACGACCCCTAAACGTAAATAGCTATATACTCTTTATTTCTATATATTAATTTCCCTCCATGTTGTAAATGAAATAGAAAATTTTGTAAAGTAAAAGTGAGCAATAGAAATCGAAAATCTGTGACCATCTTGATCATGAAACTGATATTGACATGTGCACAGCGAGTTACTTGGAAGTTATATTAAAGCTTGTGCATCAGATGTCATGCATTTAAAAGATATAAAGCAATATTTATCGACAGTAGTTTGTCGTGCTCCATCAGACTACTCTCTGGGGTTTAGTATCAAGTCATTTAGTAGGGGTCTTCTGAAAAAACTGCTGAGATACCAAGGGTATCGTAAAAAAGTTGCTGAGCCGCCAAGTACATCGTAAAAAAAAAAAAGTTCGAGAATCTCCACCGTGCATGAATTTCTTCTTATTGAGATGTTAAAGAAACTTTTGCAACGATTATTTCTTTGACTAACAACTGTCTGAATATTTCATTCCAGTTGTAATTGAATGAGGAATAAATGTTCCAAAAGTATTGGAACTGGAGGTCGTGTTGGGACTCATTTTCTCTGGGAAACTATAGATAATAAAATGTAAAACTGTACTTTCTGAGTGGGAGTTACTGCGTTCATAAAATACAATTTGTAAATATTTCAGAAAGTCTTAGGAGGAGGCTTGTTGAGTTAATTAAAATCTTAAAAACAATTCTCACAATATTTCCAAATAAATTATTGGTTGTCTGTGTATCTAAGATTGACGTTTGATGATCAATTTTGGTTTATTAAAAATATTATTAAACAAAAATAAATCAATATTTTCACGTATAGATAAGTTAACTTCTGAGAACTCTTGAAATTTTGAATTATGTGCATCTTATTTAAACAAAAATAACCGATTCAACGCTGACTTTAACCCTTAACCGATAATGTGTAAAATTCTAATTAATATTGCGATTAGATTGCTTTATAACATATTGTGCTGTTATATTTAAAAAAAAAGGAAATAACAAGTGGTTATTGAAACATTTTTATTTTGTTCGAAATAAAAATATTTTACCATCTGCTTCGTCCTCTGCAAACTTCCCTCAATGGACAAAACTTCGATTCCTGAAAGCAGAAATTCCGTTAAACAGCACTCGATTAAATTTTTACGAGAAAGACGGAAATAGTTTATAAGCTCGAGCGGAAGCTTCGTTATCGGAGATATTTCCTGCCATGAAAGAATTGCTTTTCGTTTGCGTATCACAATTTAATATATTACTACTCGAGCAGAGTTAGGCAAACTTTATTCGCGAATAACGAATACAAATTTGAAATTGATAGATAAAGGAACTTTTATGAACATTTTAAACCAATATTCGGAAGAAACAAAGGGAGAAAAGCTGCTTCACGATCGAATCCAACGTTTTCACTCATTCGAGAACAAAATTTGCCCAACATCGAATAAATAAAATCCTCCTGGTGCTCAAAGTGTTAGGGGGTGGCACGTGTTTTAGTGTTTTTTCGGTAATTCGCGATGTCCTGGAGATAATGGACTCGAAGTCCCGGGGTACAGCCGTGTCCTCTCGTCGAGCATCGGAGATCTTCTCAGCGACCTTTCCTCGTTTCTCGCGCTCCTTCTTTTCTCTATTCTTTATTTTATTTACCTGCGAACGGGCTGCCTCGACGTGGGCCGGGCACGACGAAAGAATCAAGTCCATCTGAAAGCAGACGCGATGGAAACGGACGAATGTAGAACGAAAGCGGTTCGATGCTCGCGAAATTTCAAATTTCGACCGACCACCGACGCAACGAGCCAACGTCGAGACCAAAATCGACCGAGCAAAGACGACGTACAAGCTATTGCTCATCGTGAACCAGCTCGACACATCGCATTATATTCAAATCGTCGTTGAAAATTATACAACCTTTATTAACACGGAAGAATACAAAGAGTCTCTGCTATTTTCTTTCTTCCACGACGACGCTCGCTAGCGAACGAAGGGATCGATTTTATAAATATTGCATTCGGATACGTTGAGCCCTCGATGATCTTAATTTAGCCTAATGGATTAATGGAACGTTACTACGCGCTTTTCGCTTTTCCGAATGGTAAGAGGAAAGGTTAACTTTGCGATAATAAACTAGGGACAAAAACTGTATCCAATCTCCGGGGTGTGCACCTGAAAACAAACACAAGCTGCAACAAAAATTCAAATGGAATATTAAAAAGAAAAAAAAAGAAGCAAAAGAAACGGACAGTCGTTGCACTTCGACGCGTTGTGATTCATTTTAACTCGAACTTTAATGGGTTTCGTGATCGCAAATATTCGGATGTCTCTTCGAAATACCGGGCGATTTTCCATTTTCTAGCTCACGAGCGCGAAAACATTACAACCAAAGGCTTGCAGATGTATTACTGGGAATAGAACGACCAGCACTGTCATTCAAAGAGCAATTCAGTCCTTCGAGACTGGGGGGAAAAAAATGGAAAAAAGTAGAAATTCCTTGAACGTTTTCATCGAATTCCTCGATCAGAATTATTAGGTTACGAAAATCCCTTGACAGAACTGTTAGCGCCTTTCGATCGTCCTATAAGCAGACTTCTCTGGGTGGAAGTTTGATCTTTTATAAAAGAGGACCGTGAACTTGGAGTCCTCGATTTTATCGAAACTTTTGGGACATGGACGTCTTCCTTTTATAAATCGTCCACCCCCATGGGGGGCAGGAACTCGAAACTTTTGGAGTTATTTGTTTTTGAAGTCTTTCGTAACCCGTTGAATGCTGGTTATACGATTAGGCGATGCGTGAACATCGTAGAATCTCAGTCGAGAGTCTCAGACACTCCCAAACGTTGTCGTTCATCCCCCTCCCTTCCATCAATCTAGTACTTTACGATAGTTACAGGACCAGAGACAAAACCATATTTGATATCAACGAACAAGAATCCTAAGAACTATCAAAATTATAGCATGGAAGCTATTATGAAGGCATTAGATTAAAAAATTTGAAGTAAATTCTTTTTTCAAAACACTTACGGACAAAAATTAAGTAATTCTGAATTGATACGTTAGCGTCAACGCTCTTTGGCGATGTTTTAAGATGAATAGTTTGACACTATTAAGTCCGACCGCCGAACGATGGCTGGAAATTTGTTGCATAGTTGGTTAGATGATATTGTTTGTGAAATGTAAGGGTTTGGAAGGATGGCCGCCATCGTTCTACTAAAGAATGCGATCTTGTTCCCAAAGGATCTGACCACAGCGTGGGGAAGGCTGGAATGTCTTCTGGTAAAAGGACTATGAGGAACGAGACGCGTGCTCTTACAAATGATAAAAATTTTAACAATTTTATCTCTATGTAAGTTATTTCCTTCATTTTGCACATCTTAATATCGTCGTTATTTTCGCAAAAATAGCGAAGATATTAGGATGTGCAAGATAAAAGAAACAATCTGTACATATGCAATGATTCGGGATGTTCTTAAAATTTTGTTAATCCGAGAAAAGTTGGATCGAGGGAACACAAAGAAAACCTCTTAAGGAATATATGTATTTGCTAGCAGACGATACAAATAAAATAGTAAAGTACAAAAGAGTAAAATTGTCGCAAATGTACAAAATAACTTAGGAATACATAACCAAATAAAAAGGTTAAAAGGACTTACATGCAAATCTTAAATGGCAGAGACATAGCGTGGTCACGTGATACCGGTACAAAAAGTTAATTACGTAAAGGAAGAAAGCCATAATCGAAACAAATCCGTGACCGTCCATAACCTAAAAATAGAAAAGTAAATTAATGAAATTGTGTCCGAAGGAAATTAAAATAATACCTAAGAGACCTGATAGTGTTGTTCAAAAAACAAAATTAGTTTCTTAACTTTTGTCCGTAAGTGTATACGTGTGACGCTATTGTTTTAATTATTACGAGATCAGTTATTGCACAATTACGATTGCATCCGTTTTTTTAATGGAAAACTTGGTCCGCATACGAAATAAATATTTCTTTATCGCCGGAACTAAGGAAAACGCGATATCTTAAAACTACGTCACTCATCAAAGCATTGAATTAAAATTTCTACGAAGCGATCGATACGATTACTTCAAAATGGTGTCGTTTTGTCTGTTTTTAAGATTTACAATTTCTTCTAGTTCCGGCTATAATCACACTCGTATCATTTAATAACTTCTTTTGTTTTTTCGAATTCGGTTCACTAAAAACAAGTCTTCTTTTCTATATGTTTAAAGCTATTTTAAATATTTTTTATTTTAATATTATATTTCGTAGTTTAATTAAATTAAAAACTGATATCATAAACAGGTTTTCTTTTATAAAATTTAAAAACTGTTTTTTGTCGAACGAACAGAGGATGCAAATGTGACTCCCTACTCTTATCCACCATAATATAATAATTCTCAATTTGACACCGCGGATGTTTCTCGCGTAACCAAATTTCTCGACGATCCGTTTTCACGACCAAGTTCCTTAAAACCAATTCGTTTAAGACCCCGTTCTCATTTCCTCAATTCGTAAAACATACTCGTAAATGCCGGCGGCGCGCGTAAAATCATTTTACGGTTTGCACACGCGTTGATACTGTCGCGATACAATTTACGGACGACAGATTTATCCTCTAGTATCGGGCTGATTCGATACCCGTAACAGTAAACTCAGAATGTATATATATTGGGTTACTGTTTACTGTTAATGTATTTCAAATAGCCGGGTGTTAAAAGAGGGTAGAAATCGCGAGCACGGAGAAAACAAACGATCACGTCGAACGTCATACACGAAATTTGAACGATTTAGAGATTGTTCAAACGTTCAATCAACAAATATTTTGTCTCATGCAATCGTGCAATTTTATTCCAGATATAAACATAAAAAAAAACGAATGGTACTTTTATTTTACAAACGTAAACAATATATGGTTTGTCGATTCTTTATAAAAAAAAATACATATCCAACGTCGAATTATGCTTGGCCTCCGAGAAAAATTGTACGAGACATAAATTCGAACGGAAGACGAGTTGCCGGTAAAAACGTTTCAAGAAATCGTTCGCCATTTACCGGTGAATAAATCTTATATCCGCCGTTTGCCGATAAACCGGTTTACTGGCATTGCAATACCCCGCTTAAGACGTTAAGCTCGATCCTGGAGAAAATTACAGAGCATTCACGCTGCGCGTCCACGCGAGCCAACGTGGCGGCCGGTGAAACGTCTTTCGTGTCGGAAATATCATAATTAAACACGGGGCGCACGTATTACTCTAAGGGTTGCACGGACTCGACTGCGTGCGGTGTCTACCGCCTCAGGGTATCATACATATTTATCCATACCAATCTGAAATTCAAAACAGTGATATCTTCGACTGAGCCTGTTGTGTTCTCTCGTTATTTTAAAGAGGATAGGCACGAACGGCGGAAAGAGATCGCGCGAGTGAAACGTGTGCGAGTTTATGGTTGCTGCGTACCTGACGCTGGTGGTCCTGGTCTGGCTGAGGCTTGGATGCCTCTTCACCGGCGCTCTGTACCCTCTTCTGGGACAGCAGATCCACCAACCGCCGCATGCCGCGGACAGGAAGCTCTCCCTGAAGTGCTTCGACATGAATCCGTAAACGATCGGATTTATGCAGCTGCAAGTATAACGAATTCGAAAAATATACCTTCCTTTAGTATCGCGCCAGACGTCGACACCGTTTTGAACGAGAACCTACAGTCACGGCTAAAATGTCTCGTGGAGAAGTTCGGGGATAATTTGGAAACGAGGATTCAAAGTGTTCCACGTAACATAAATATATTCCAACGACTTTGATCGAGGTTTATGTGGACAAATTCCCCCGGCAATGAATTTGAAATTGAAATTACCTAGAAGAACGTGAAACGAATGGCGCGCCGCGGGACGTATACCTTAAACGTTAACTGTTATTAGTTCGATTGAGCGCAATTAGTCCATAGTATTGATTCTTCCATAGGCGTATCATTAAGTTAAAAAGGGGTCATTACGTCGATGAGAGCAATCGCACCTCCGCGACGATTATTAACGTCGTCAGACTGCATCACGAATGGAAATAAATGAAACGGGAATCGATAGTGAGCGCCTCGAGGGGGGTGTTTGAAAATGGCACGGGGAAATGCAACCTTTCCGTCGAGCATTAATTAAATGTCTTTGCACCTGCGACGATCCTATGGAAAACAACCCACGTACAATTCCGTCGCTATTTGCGTCGACTGTTCTCCCTTTCTCTATAAAATTGCATCCACGGCGAAGAAAGCGTTTTCATGCAACAACTTCGTTAGAAAATAAAAGAGAATAAAAATTGAGAAATATGCAATTCGTTTGAAAGGTTTCGTTCTATCAGAACGTGATTCCTCGCATCCCGAGTACCCGTTCAGGAAAATAAGAAGGAGATGACGCGTGTATTTAATAACCCCAGCGGATGCACTAGCTTCCCGTTCAATGTCGCGGCAGGATGTCGTCTCGAAATGATTGTAGCTTATCGCGCGTACCTGTTGAAATAAGCCATCAGCTGAAAGATCGTATTAACGTGTTTGATTGTTCCTGTTTTGGTGCGTGGCAAGAAACCGTAGGCGGTGAGCACGTTGTTCACGAGGATCGGACCCCAACAGATGGCGAACAACACCACCACAGCCACCAGCATTTTCACCACCTGCGACAAAAAACAATTCTAGACTGTTAAGCTATGAATCCCCCTTCCATTACTGGACCCATAAAAATATCGATTGCTTGAAATTAACAACGGTGTGGCGTCGCCTCTTATGCTCGCCGCCAGAGGGATCGTGTTCTCACAAGCGCTTGACCGACTTCCCAATATTCCAGTCGTTTAAGGCAGGGCCTGCTAGGAAGCCTTACTGAGGAGGCCACTAGCAGGACCCTCCTTTCCTTTTTTCTGACCTACAAATTTCCCACACAGCTCCACAACGGTATCCAAGCAAAGTACGGGTACATTTTGAATAAACTTTTGCAGCTTTGTCTCCTTTATTATTTCCTTGACTACGTTAATCCGAAACGGAGCTTCTCTTCGAGGAAGATCTGTCTCTGTTGGGGTACGAAAGTTTGCCCTATATTCAAGCCCCTCCCGCCCGGTTTTTACGACAGTTGATACTGTAAAACTTTATCGGTTGATACAGCTTGTTACTTATTTCAACCACCGTGCTCGCCTCGTTCCTTTATCGGAAAAGTAATAAATGTTTTCCGAAAGCCTTCTCGCGGAGAGAAACAAAGCTAATAGTAATACCATTAGCACGCACGAAAGCTTTGCATCTTATTTACCCTAAAGTGCTGCTTGAAATGCACAATAATTACCATTCGAATGAAGGTGCCAGGCGGTTTGCTTAGGCGAACGGTATCAGACTTTTATGGATCTCAACGACGCCCAAGACTTTTCAACGTCTCTGTCCAAACACTTTTAACCGAGCGCTGACGAAACCACAATTAACTTTTAACACACTGGCGACTGGTGACGATCATTTATGCCGTTAATAAAAATATTCGTTGAAGTTTCGTATTTTATGCGCTTGATTCAAAGTCAAGAACAGTCAATGTATGTACATATCAACTCATCAATATTTTAACGTGCTCCTTTAATCTACTTGCCTCTCGAGTTGTCACACGATCGTCGCCGAGCTGTGACAACTTGAGAGACAATATCGAGTTAGTTCGCGACGACTGAAACTGAAGATCAGGTGTCTGTTGAAAGTTGGAAAGTTTCTACCAGCTGCCCGTGACGATTTCAAATCTAACCTGTTTCATGGTTCGAGATTCCTCCTCTGTCTGCCCGTCCTCCCGATAGGAACGACGTCCGTTCCGCGCATTCTGCCTTTGTGTCATGGGTATCGATTCAGTGTCGGTATTAGTCGGATTCAATCTGCAATACATCGAAGCATTTGATTAAACGTCGATCGCGTGGAGAAACAAAAGGGATTTAACTTTTAAATTAACTCAGAGGGAAACTACATGTCAGGATCCTGAAAAGGTGACAATAACGTACTAGCAGACCGGGGAGTTATTACAGTGAAACGATTTTTAAATAGCTATTCGAAAAATAAACCATCCTATCCGATCGGAAATTATTCATAAATAATTAGGTGCTCTAAGTTATTTGATGAACCAGATGTTTGACAAATTTCCTTATACGCGAGATCTAGTGTGTCAAGTTCTATAGTTCACATTTCATACTGTCAGTTACAGAGATTCTGTATCAGTTAACAGTGGCAGAGCAATGGAATGAATATCTTTCACGATACAGCAGTGTTTGGATAACGTGAGTCACTTTCGATCGGATAAGTGAAGGGTAGTCATCCCTACTGAGAGGAGACACCCCTTGACACGCTAAGAAAGCTCAACGTTAAGCGATAACCTGATCTGGGGCTCGAATCTCAGCGAAACATTCATACACACATAGTACACATACCCAATGCAAAGACGAAGTATTTTCATTTTTGTTTTTTTCTTAATGAAACTTTTACCAATGCATTTATGAGCGTTTTCTGATTAAAATAAGACAAAACACGATATACTTTGTTATTAATCTACTTCCGATAGAGTACAAAATCGTGTTAAATACGATTAAATACGCACTCGTTAAATACGCAAATATGATCCAAGTTATATCGTGTTTCGTCTTGTTTTGATCAGAAAAACCTCAAAAATATATTAGTAAAGGTCCAAAATTAACAAGAAATAAAATCTAAAATTTAAGCCTCGGTAAGATTGTTCAATCTGTATGCACCTTTACAATGGTCTCCACGGCGCGATTTTATCGCGAAATTACATGAAATAAACGTAACTCCCTCGTAAATAGAATGATATGGACGAATTGCAGTATTTTAAGGGAAATTCTTCGCTGAAAGTTGCAACGAAAACCGGATGGATTTCGTTGTGTACGGTCAGCCTGTAGATCTCGTTCTTCCAAACTTTTTAACAAGCACGATAAACAACGCATCCTTGTAAAGATGCTGGTACCGCGTTCGCGATCGATAAGGAGATATCGGTGCCAAGCTCGGAATCGAAAGTTTTCGTCCGGCTCGAAAACCAAACTCCCCCCAAATACATCCGAGGAGTTTATCTAGTTTGCGGTCTCGTGGATCGACGAAACAACGAGGCCATATCGTGCAGAAAACCGCGTGACATTTACGAAACAACTGCTATTCGATTATTGAACGTTTTTTAAAACATCCCCCTTTAAAGCCTCGAAATTCACTCGAGTCCTTCGTAAAACTGTTTCAAATTCCCTTCCAATCTAACTTTAATTTTTGCACCGTGCAATTCTCTTAAGACTTTTCCACGAGGGTTTGGAGGTCCCTTTTAATGTCGTTTCCACTGCCCCAGAGTTTCGTGGAAACAGCTGCCACTCGGAACTTTCGACGATTCTTTTCCTGCAACGCGATAATTCCGTTCGTTGAAGCGCAGTAGCTTGAAATTTACTACCACCGTTCAGAATAATTTTACACGCGTTTTGGCGAAAATGCTGAAATAAATTTTACTGGGTATTTGAAATGGTCACGGTAATCAAACTGCAAATGGAAAGAATGCACCAAGAGTACTGTATTTTCTCTAACATGTTTCGCCATTTCACGCGTGGTCTTATTATTTTAAATGCATGATGCGTGTACGGGCGAAAACATTTTATTGAAGAACATAACGGCACGAGGGTACTAAACACTTTTTAGGTACTAAAAGTTCAATGGTTTAAGAAACGCTCGAAGGGACAAATATTATATACGAGAGGGTTCGAGGGTTACTTCAAGTGTACATTAGCAGATAAGGGATGAAATATTAGATCTTACCGGTACATTAGTTCGGCCACCCCTTGGGAAAAATTTTAATGGGAGATTCTAAAGGCAAAAATAAGATAAAAATCAGGAATATCAATTTGTTGATTGAGGCTTCGTTGAAAAGTTATTAAAAAATTAAATTAAAGAATTTCGTTCTGGAAAAATTATTTTCAGTTGCGGGGGTTAATTATAATAATTTTTGGTCAATAAACATACCCCCGAAATCCTACGCAGTTTCGAGAAAAAAATTCATTACCGAAAATTACATGTCTGACCATATTGTTGATATGTTTCACTGAAATTTCATGCGAATGTTTAAAACGTCATAACTTCTGAACGGATTGGAGGATTTTAATGTTTAAAAAGGCAAACAACGCGTATTTTAATGAAGAATATGTAGGAATTCCAAAAATATTCGAAAAGTTGTTCCTTGACCCCGTAAAATTAGAAAAACCCCATGAAAATGGCCGAGTATTCAAAACGGCCATAATACCTGCAATAGTGAATATATTTCAATGAAATTTTTTTCTGAAGTAGTGCTCATGGGTACCTACAAGACAGTATTAGACAAAATTATTAAAAATGAAAAACGAATTTTTAAGAAAAACCAACAGGGTATATATTTTCCGACGAAAAAAAAAAATTCAGATCGTTCTGGAAAAATTATTTTCTGTTGTGGGGGTGGATTACAATAATTTTTGGTGAATAGGCATACCCCCGAAATCGTACCCATTTTCTAGAAAAAAATTCGAGAAGGTTTGAAATTTTCCGACAAAATTAAAAAATTTCAGATCGTTCTGGAAAAATTATTTTCGGTTGTGGAGGTCAATTATAATCATTTTTGGTGAATAGATATACCCCCAAAATCCTACGCACTTTCGAGAAAAAAATTCTTTACCGAAAATATAATATGAAATATAATTTTGGTTTCTAGAATTTTCTATTAAAATTGTTCCCAGGTGGTTGAACACCCTGTATATAGTTTGCAGAAAAGAAATCTCAGACTTACGCGTGTCGAGACGTCATATGGTATCGACGCTTCATGACGCGCCAAATCTCCCAACAAATGGCCGTATAGCAAAATGCCATAACTATCAGGGGCAACACGAGAACCAGCACGAGCATGTAGACCTCGTGTGCACGCCAAAGAAGCCCAGCTTCCGAGTCACGTACGCACCAGTAGGCGATCACTCTCAGTCCCACCACTTTGTGTGTCTGAAACAAAGAAACTATCGATGTCAGAAGTTTTTTCATCAAACAATCCCAATTGCAGTAATCCACGAGAGAGACTTAGCTTTTATTAGATTCTCAGACTCCCAAAGCGAATCAGTTTCATTCTACGTTATCACTATTTCCAAAACTACTACACCAGTTTTATTTTTTCCTGAATGATTTGACAAGTTGATTTTCAATTTCAAAATCGGATCGTTCATCGAAAGCTTTCAAAAGCCTCTAAATTGAAATAGCGTACCAACAGCCCTTAGCGAAATCCGATAAAACATTGTTGGAAAATAATTGAAAACGCTATTACAAAAAAAAAGCTCAGGAACAAAAGTGAATGAAAAAAAAAAATATTTGTATTGATTCAATTATTGAAATTTAATACACAGTTTGTGCCTATGAAAAAACAAATGGAATGCCAATTAACTTAAGAGTTTTATAGTTGTTGAAAATGTGGCACGAAGTAGATTCGTGGACGAAAAATAAATTTCAATTTAAAAATTAAGAGAATACAGTTTACCTCGATTATTTTATTCATTTTTAAATTAATTGTGATAGGAGATAATTTTGTAAATCTTTATTACAAGAATTTCATTTTAATACTAACAGTAAGAAGCTCAACAATGACTGGAATCTTCTCGTAGGGAGAAACAGTAAAGAAACTCGGTCAACGCGACTAATAAATGATGGTGATTAAAAACGAAACTCGATACAGCCCTCCACCCCCGCGCTTTCTTACGATTCGAAGTATTTTACGAAAATTAACTCGCACTGAAAAGAATCGAAACAAGGTTTCAATGGATCGTGGAAGCAATCTTAATTGAAAATAATCACGACATTTCAGAAGCATCTCTTCAACAACCGCAAGTTTTACGATTCCATATAAAAGTGTTTATTAAAATGTTCGGAATACGTGTATGTACACACAAACTTTTTCTACGACCACATAAGGGAGTTTTATCGTCATATTCACGCCATTTACTTTACGAGACACATAAAACCGCGGTTCCCTACATGTTTCATTAATTCCTTCATCCCCCTACCCCACGAGAATGTTCTCTGTTCTCGTTTTTTACGGAAAGAACAAAGGGAAGTATTTCTCGCGTTGCAACGCAATTCACAGACTCCTGATTTTTATTAAAAGTTCTGCATTATGTACAGTTTATCCTCGCGATCGGTGGACAGTAAAAACAGTGATATTAGTAGGACCTTCAGCCTAAAAAAGCGACGCGACGAAATTCTAGGTTAACGAGGAGAACGAGTAGAAATAAAATCCCTAGAAACTCGACTTAATCCTGACGACCTGCACGAGAAACCATCCGATCGTGAAAACCGTTGGAAAATGCCTGGAAAATATTTCGCGAGGGATGGAAATCGAGATGAAAGCTAATGTGGAGGACGATTTCGTTCGATTTTCCGCCTGCAGATAAACAGACGCTCTCCGCCATCGTGAAACGAGCAGATGGACGTCAATTTTGCGCGCATTACGTATTTCTCTGTGAGTATTTTCAACGGCCACTTAAAAGGAGTAGCGGAAATCGAAATCGTAAGATCACACATGTCGAATCACGAATGTTATTTGAAAATTAACTTTTTACGCAAAAAAATGAAGGTTTTAACGCGTTGCAATATTAGCTATAACGAAGTAGACGATATAATAACATTCGTTTTGGTCGGTATCAGGGAACTTTTCCTCGTGTCAAGATCGTCGTAATCAATGAGAAAGCTTATGGTAAACATTTAAAATAAAACACAAAGTTGATTGTTCACCTGTGTGAAGATCATCGGGATACCAAGCAGGAAGGACGCGACCCAGGTTATGATCACGATCTTGCGAGCTTGGCTTATCGTGCACGTGTACTGCGCCCTCATTGGATGAACGATGGCATAATATCTGAAACACAAACGAAGTTCCCAGTTAGCTCGATATCGATAACTAGGAACTGGCACGTTTCTAACGAGACATCTTGTATAGTCAATATCGTATCGTCCAGTCGATACAACTTTGTACCTCGAGCGAATCGCCGAATCACAGCGTAGCAGAAAAAGTGAAATTCTCGACGTTGTTTGACAGGGATTAAAAGTTTTCGCGAGGCGAGTCCAATAATTCTCGACAATGTAATTTCCGCGAAATTACCGCGGGCTTTCACATCCGTTGGATTATAAAACAGTCGGTTCCAGAACGAGAGAGATAAAAGAAAATATATTATGCAAGAGCGATGAACTAGGGTAATGACGCGAAAAATCCCCGTGAAAATGCTTTTCGTTTTACGGCCACGATTATTTTCATTGCTTCTCCATTTTCACTTCCTTTCGAGGCGAAAAAAAATATCGTTGCTGATTATCCGTCGCTTTTTCGGTCGGAGATATTTTTTTATATTCGTTCATTATTACAAAATATACTTAACAATTATTCATGATTTAATATTAGAGCAGACTGGAGTCAATAGTAACACTTTGAATTTGGAATATCGTGATTCTAAAACTATTACAATTGGAACAAAGCTTTGTTAATATGGTTCCATGCGCGAGAGACTTTCAAAAATCAATCTACGGTCACCTCACGGTCACAGACAACGTCCGTGACAAAAACAAAGGAACGAGTCAGCTTTTCCACTGAACGAATAACGGAGAAACGACTTTTGTACAGGACTAATAATGTTTCCATTTTCCGTGACACTGGCAGCTGTTTACGAGCGCGGCCGGTTATTCAACAATCAGACGCAGCGTTCATTTTCTCTGAAATAAATTTCAAACAGAAACCGACTCGAACGTCGCGGGTAATATTAAAACGAAAAAACTGAACTTTGTTTAAATTATTCGACTATTTTCTATCGCCAAAAATAGACGAGACATTTAAGATGCTCGAGTCGAGTGGAGCACCCTGTATTTGATGGATCGGCTGCATCGTTCTCTTCGATGCACGCACCCCCAGATAGAATTTTTCAACCCAGCATCCCACGCGAGCAACAACAAAAAACAGGAGAATCTGTAAGATTTATCAGTTTCATTCCACGCAGACAACGCGCTATGAACAATAGATGGCGGTGTCGATCGATTCAGCGAGCCTGAAAATGGCGGTTCGATTCCTCCCTGAAATAAAATAAATTTTAAGTATGATCGAGCCAGAAAGCTGTCCGATCACGCGTTTGAGGCTTCACGGGGGCATCTTTTATCGGTTCTCTATTAAAGCGAAACGTGAGCGGCAAGCTGGAATCACGAGCTCTCGAGAAAAATCATAAATCCGTCGACCTAACGCCATACCAGGTTTCCTAATTATTACAGACGATTTCGTCGGAAAGACTCTAACCAGTTAACTCCGTACGATCAAAAGCTCTCAATCCAAAGCTCTATTGCGGTGTGGTAAAATAAAAATTTACTATGTAAAAAGGCTACGTACGTACTTTGATCCTTGAACGATTTTAGAATAAGCAAACGTTGAACAATAGTGCATAGTAATAGATAACTGTACTTTGTAAACTCACAATTCCCTTCGAATGCTAAAGGTCCACGAATTCGCTGGAATTGCGTCAGAGGGCGTAAGCTTCGAGATGAATTTACCGCGTCTCTCTTTAGGGCTGAGTACTATTCTTCGAGGGAAATTGAAACGGGGACGCTTGAATGCGACTTGGAATGATTTTTATGTTGATCACATTTCGAAAGGGAGCGTACGCTGATCTAAGTTAGATTTTCTCCATTGATTTCGGCGGAATAAAATTGATCGAAATTGAATCGAAGCGCCACAAATAGGACATTTATAATTATCTCGAATATTGCGAATCTTTTTACTGAAATCCCTGTATAATGATATTTGTATACGTTTCGTCGCTGCATGCGCCACTTAAAATAGCGTAATCGCATCTCAGTAAGTTCTTTGTTCCTGACTCTGTAGCCGAAGAAATCGATATACGAAAATGAAAGCTTCATCTGATATAGCATTTGAGCACATGCATTATGCAGCGGAGCATATAGTTCGCCGAAGAATGCACGCGTGAAAGATGCAACATTCGAGATTGACTTTTCACTTTAAAATTTACTGAATTTTCTACCTTACTTTTCTCGTGCCAATATTCGTAAAATACCGTGGAAAATAACGATCTTAAATTCTGTACATTGAAAATATCAACTCCTTCGATACGTATAATTAAAAAAAAAAATGTCTTCGTAGGTTTTCGAGAAAATAATTTCGCATGATAGATTCGCGGGCAACGGCGAAGTTTAAAAGTCCAGCTTTCTATGCATTCCAAGTTTATTTCGCAAAAAAACTCGACAACTTTCCATTACTTTCGCGCGGCGTTTCCTCGTTCATCAAAGTTTGTCACGACGTTCGCGGCGTTATTGTAACGGGACGTTCGATCATGGTCAATACTGAATCGTTCTGGTGTCGCGATGGACGCGAGTTATCGGATGGGTCGCGTAACACGCGCGAAATTTATAATCCCACGTGTCCATTAATCTCGAGCAAAAAAAAATCGAGAACCTTAAGACACAGGCGATAAAATTGTTCAGCGATCGAACAAATTGTCGGAATTGATGGCACCGTTTCTTCGTTGAGCGAGCTCTTTCGAGCGGGGGCGCAGAGTAATTCCGACACGAGTCGCAGCCGTAAATAACCTAAATTTCAAGGAATTCGTTGAGCGCTTCAATTAAGCGAAATTATGCACTTCGAACGTCCAGCGACCATAGGTCAAACGGTTTTCTTCCTCTTCCATTCCATTAGATACACTGTGTACAGTCCGGGACACAGTTTCCTTTCGACGAACAGCGACTTACAGATTCGTTCCGTGTTTCTAAAATCTGTTCTTCGGTTTTCACGTAAAATTTGCGTAAAACGCGTGGAACGAAGTCGTTACGAGCAGTCGAGGCTCGGTGAAATGTGACTAATTCTAAATAGCGTAGCGACAATTGCCCAAATTGTCGTTTATATTGCAATGTGCATGTTTAATGAGACCTGAACGTTATTGCGTCGCATTACGAACCAAATGAGTATTTCAACGGTTTATAATTACCATCCATATTTTTTCAAGAGAAACAACTCGTAGGACCGAGTCTCGAGTGCAAGAAGCATTCGAACAAGCTGTATCGGAACGGAGACTGAATACCGGTGTTACTTGAGAAAATCTATACCGAAATTCGACACCAGCGAATGTTTGTGCACAGCGATATCGTTCAGTCTCGAAGTCTCCTTTGTCTTTTGTCGACAACCGAGGAAAGGAATAGCGAGCGAATGAAGAAAAGGACTCTGTATGATTTTTCGTCTGTTCTGTCCATTTAAATCACCGATTTTATGAAACTGTTGACGTTCGCGCCATTAAAAGGATTAAAACAATATTTCTTTCGTATTTTTCGTATAGTATTATGTTATTAAATTATTGAATAATTCAACGTTGTGAATGGCATATTTTGAAGAATATATCTTTCTAAGCTGTGGTCTTTAAATACCAGTTGGCGAGATCTGACGAAGAAGCCGGAGCTTGCCGGCGGCTTTTCACAAAGCATTGTATTCCACGCCTCACTGGGCTCTATAAAGGAGATCTCCCAAGTTAGTTCAGTTTATGAATCACGTCTGGGGGCTCGTTTTAAGAATCATCGTACACACTCTTGTTAGACACTGTATGATCGGTAAGAGACTATAGTTCCACTGATAAAAATCTTGAGGTTAATGTAAAACAGGCGAAAATTCCAGAAAAATATTGCTTAATATTAGTAAGTAATAAACCAAGAGGAATCGCAGTTGAATAATAAAGAATTGAACTCAAATAACCGTTCACATCTACGTATGGTCGCGCTGCGAATGTGTATATGTCTCGAGCGCTTGTGAGAGCGCGAGCCCTCTGGTGGCGAGCATGGGAGGCAACATACGTATAAACTATATGTTCTCTTCTTTGATAAAATGTAACACTTCTTAAAAATAACGTTGTTTAAAGCAATCTAATTCTGTATTCCAAAGACGTCAAGAACATGTGGCGAATTTGTGAGTTACGTTTCGTATGAAATAATATCGTTAGATTTACCTTTCAATCGACATTGCAGTTAACGTGACGACCGAACAGATGGCCGACACACTTTGCATATAATGCACCGACTTGCATAGGAACAAACCCATGGTCCACGTGTAAGAGAACAGTTTGGCGACCTGGAAAACAAGATCGAAATTTCGTTAGGTTGGTGCACAATTTTATTCGAAAATTTCCATCGAAAGAAATTAAATAGCAACGGTAATATAATCACGTATGTTTCAAATGCAATCTTGTTTTCTCAGAAACTCAATTTTCATATAATTTTTATCGTTCGAAAATAATGGACGTGACATCGAGGTGTATAAAAATTTGTCTCTCGATTATTGCTTCGCGCTGTGACTCAAAGATTATTTCATAACCGCCGTGATTTCTTGACCAGGGATTGAAATAATATCCTCACTGACCCGAGCGAAATTCGAAACAATACGGGGTAGAACAAAAATCGCACGGCACAATGAACCGCGCATTGAAGTAAAAGAAAGAGGGGCCATCGGAACAAAGAAAGTACAGGAAAAACGTTCGCCAAGCTTGAGAGTGTTTCATCGACCCCTTTCAACAAAACGGTGGGTGGGGGAGGGAAAAAAAACACGTAATCGGAATATGCCCTTTGAAGCTGTTAATGAGCATAAAATACAGTTTCGAGTCCCCGCGTAGTTCGGCGTGTCTACAAGCGGAGTAACGAGTACGAGCTGCGTACAATTAAATTAAACTACTCCGAGTAATTCCATCTATAATGCAAATTTCTATATGCGGCTTTTACGCTGTAATTTATACGCATAAAATTATAACGCGCACTATTACGCGTTTCACAGTAACGAGAAGCTGCTTTTATCGTTCTCCGCGACTCGCGAACGCGAACTTAACGTCTGCTTGATCGAATAAGAGTAACATCATTTTTTTTTTATATTAGATTCTGAAATAACTTTTTAGATTTGGGTTGAAGCGACGTGGTTGGTAGAACGGCAGACGTAGAATCGATTTGACGAGCTATCGAACAAATAATATCTCAAGACGAGTCTCTTATCGAAGGGAATAAATCTCAAGTCGTCGATAACGAGAGATTCAGGGACGATGGATCGAGGATTCAATGAAAGCAATCAACTCCGGCAAATAGCGAAAAGTATTTTCGGCGTTGAATACGATTTTGATGAAGCGTAGAATCGCGATAACTTGGATATGGAAAATTTCTGAATTGCTTTCCCGAATCGGTACGCGCTCGAATCGGGCATAATCAATTTTTAATCGTGCTGCAGAATACGGTTACGATTGGAATTGTGAAATTGTTGTCGGTATAAGCTATGATCGCAATTACAATCTATAATCGTTGTTTATGATCGACAATGTTTGATTCTGTTTTAAAGTTATTATTTAGTCAAAAATTATGCTCTGAGTTACCATACATTAATTACAACGCAAATCTATTAATAAAATGCTTTGCACGTGTTCCTTTTATCGTGTACAATTTTTACCAGTAGTACGAGTCAACGATAGATCAGCCCGATCTCTGACAGAAGCTCTTCACACTCTTAAAAAGATGATATTTGTATTTAATAAAATTCATAACAGTAAACTTCAGAGATAAAGGTACAATTATGGTAGAATCGTGCTTCTGACACCGACAGGTTGAAAATAGGGAATGTCAAGCGGTCGACCATAGAATCTCAAATACCTACTGGATCTAATTGAAACTTCTCGGACCCCGGACTTGTACAAGCATCCACTTTGAAGTATCTTTTCAGCGATGAAATCTTCAAACGGCAAATCTTCCCGCTACAGAGGAGCAAGTTGAACCCGGTAGTCAAAGATTCGCGTTTAATTATGTTCGAGAGGCCTCCGGCTGTTTAATCGGTTTATTGGCGCACTTGAGTCGAAAGCAGCTATTTAAATGTCGCGTGAATTGATTCGAACCAGCACGGAGAATTTCGTTAATTGACACGTGCGTGCGCTGAAACGCCACGCTATTCCAACGATTTCCGTCGTGTTATGCACTTCCGTGGCGCGAAAGGCGAGCGGAATGGGTTCGATACGAGCCGCGATGTAATCAAGAGGCTCTGTTCCAGAGATTGAGAACTCGCGACCTTTCGAGGTGTTTTGAGGAGGCCTAAAGTGGACGAACTTCCTATAGAAACACAGATATCTTTCAAATTGACAAGCAAGAATCTGCAAACGCGAATGAAACATTGTTTACTCGATACTTGCAACCACGATCGTCATGATCTAGCAAGGTAAATAGAATTTAGAAGATTCAGTTATTCGATAGAACTGTAAGAATGCATAGTTTGACGTGGAAATTAAATGCACGTTTCTATTGCACTAAACAAATTATTTTGGTCGAGAGGGATTCAACCCGTTCCTCTATAAATTCTCTACGTCCTCCCTTAGAGAATACCTGTGGCTTGACTCGGTTACTAGAGTCTACCTGTGTGCCGCCAAATTATTAACAGCATGAGAAGCGTTTCTCTCCCGTCCAAGAATGTTAATTGAAATTAATGCAATCAGCGTGCAGTTTAGTCGATTACGGTAATTGAATGCAGGCAAGCTGCAATGTAACATGATTACCACTGGCTAGAAAATTGCTGCTTGACGATCGCCCTCGGCGCAGATTAGTTTTGCGCTTCTAAAAAAGAAACCTTAATGGGTCCGCCTTAATCGAGCACCGACGTTTCGCGACGGAATCAATTGCTATCAAACGGTCCTATCGCGACCAGAGTTAGGCAAAACTTTAGTCGAATAACACCACTGTACGTGAAACATTTTTTTTTCAAAATTTATCACACTAGCTTTTGCAATTAAATATTTTAAAAATTAAATATTTCTGATTTATAAGAACAATATTTTCGTAAACATAGTAAATACAACACCAATGGTGTAAAAATATTGTCCTATTTAAATAATTATCATCTTCGATGTGAATAATATGTCGGATTCAACTTTGTTTTCATTTCATGTTGCATGCAAATTATAAATTTGTACAACACTGAAAATTTTGAAACTAAGCCGCTAACAAATTGAGATTTATTCAATCCAAACAGACACTGTTTGCGTAAATTGTGTTTTCAGCTGTGAAAACAATATTTCCGCGGCGCAACAGACGTCCGAAATACTTAGAAAGCATTCGCGTGTTTTTGTTGCGAGATGAAATTTATTTTCGGTTAATTTTTAATGCTACGGACGATCGGTGTTAAGCTCGATCGTATTCTTTAAATAACTTCATAGTTGTTCGTCGCTGCTTTCGCGCGAAAACATTAAAAATAGTTTAGAAAACCCGATGAAAAATAAAAAGGGAAAATTACTCAAATGTACGGATACTTCCATAATAAATCATTCGAACAATCTCGACCAAGACTCTGACTTATCTATCGATTGCGCGGAAAGATGCAGCACACTTGGCATTTCTGCCAAAATCTTGGCTGCAACGTTGATACTGACCTTTAGAACTATGTACGTATTTAATTTTCTATTTAACCGCGCCCCATGTTTTTCTATTTCTCTGGCCAATCTTTTACTCCGTTAACTCGAATTGTCGCTTAATCCAAAAGATCCCTCCTGTCACTGATCCGAATTAACTGGGTTATATTGTACCTATATATCTGAGCAAACGAAATTACGCAAGATATACAGTAGAATATTAAACACATGCATGGAATTAAAACGTAAATATTATTTTATTAAATGTTTTAGTATGAAGCATAAGGAAACGAAATATTAAGTATCGCTATTAATTCAATGGCACTTGTACTTGTTTCTACTGCATTCTAATGCATTTCTAATACATTCAGTGTGGCGGCCATCACAGTGTGTTTTTGATTTCGAAATTTCTCTCAACTGCAACTCTTTCTTTCCTCAAAAATCTGTTTTTCGATTCGTGAAACGAGAATACCTCCTAAAATCGTAAACGTTACTGGCAATTAAGGGATAGTGACAAACAGTAATTAAAATGGCACACCGCACGAAATTAGCAAACAAGTGAACTGCCAATGATGAAACTATTGGTCATCCAGCACGATCAATTCATTAGTATTGACGTAATTGCTTAATTATCGCATTGCTGTGGCCAGCAATGGTCACGAACCGAGGACCGCGGGAGGAAATTGGTTATTTCGATTAATTTATTTTACACACAACGATAATACCGTGCTTAATTTAATCCTTTTACACGTGCTCGATATTCTTAAACCCATAATTTAAAAAAACATAATACACCGGTTGTTCCGTAATTTATAGCGAAAATAAACCGAAAACGTCCATTAAAATTTGTTGTTCGACCGGTGACGATTAATTTCGAATATACGCTGGTTTAAACGTTTTAATCAACGGACCTCGAGCTTGGACATTTTTAGTTTGGTTGTAAAACAGCCGTATTTACCGAACTTTGTCCTTTGATGCTAACTGGCGCACTTCCTTCGTGTATTTTGTTTGATTTGTTGGATTCGGTGGTTAAGTAAATAAAACAAAATGTACGTATGAGAATACGCTTAATTCCATCGATCAGCAAAATGTTGATACCGGACTGTGTGTGGATCGTCGATAGAAAACGAGGAAGAAGGACCGCGTGATAACAGGAGAAGACGGGAAGAGCGAACGTAAATAATATTAACTCGTCATTCGCTATAATTAAGTTAGTCCGCCGTGTATTATCGTACGTTGTTATCATCCACGTTGTTACTGTCGCATCATCATATTACGGGGATAACAGCTTTCCTGGATGAACCGCGAGATCGATATTCCTCGCGGTGGTATTGCCTTTTCAGCCTTGTAACGCGAACAGGGCGGTTGTCATTGTTATTCAACTCCCTATCGGGCTTGTATAACGAAGTTTCAATAAAGAATCGACGAATAGTGCGAGTGTACAGGCGAAGAAATTACTGTCACGCGAAACCATCCCGCGGAACTCGAGATTCTCGTCACGGAATGGACATTTGTCTCGTATTATTACCACCTGAGAGATCCTAAGAAACTTGTTGATCCTAGATCTTTGGATTACCGGTATCTCTGCCCCCTAAGTGGCAATCTGTTCAATTTTTTCTACGGAGACCGAGAATTCATTACAATGGAATACCTCTTTCGTGAGAATTGAACTTGAATACAAAACTTTTACAAAATGATGCACACTCAG